GTTGAAGCTTCGGTGGTGGCGACCGCGGCGCCGCCGGCGGGCAAGAAGGATGGCGCTGGTCATCCTAAGCAGAAGGTTTACCGACCCAAGTCGCCTGCGCCGGGGGCTGAGGAAAAGCAGAAGCCGCCGAGCGAGGGCCAGGCGCCCTCGCCGTCGGAGGAAGCGAAGCCGACGAGTGGACTGCTATCGACGCCACCGCCGCAGCGGCCGCACCCGGGAGACGGTGTCACCGGCGCGCGCCGAGGCCGAGGCGGCGGGCGTGGTGCTGGCCGACCCGCGAGGGACCAGGCCGCGACGGCCGGCGAAGAGCCTCCAGCTGCCGCCGACAGTTTTGATCGAGGAGCGCGCGGAGGAGGACGAGGCGGCAGGGGAGCGGGCCGTGGAGGTCGAGGGATGAGCTTCAGCACGGGTGGTGCCATGTGGTCGCGCAAGGATCAACCCCTCGAGAGCGACCACACCGCTGCGCCCCATCACGGTCGACCGTTCGATAGCCGTCGGGTACCACCACCTCGCCCTGCCACCCAAACCGCCTCATAGCGTTTCTTGGCCGGCACTTAACCCGACCACCTGTTGTGTGGGTGTTGACAACAGTCGCCGCGACCCGAGGGACGGGGGCGAGGCCGAGGGGACGCGTCGACCACTGACTCTCCGAAGCAGCAGCAGGCGCCGACCACCGAACAGCGCGAAGGTACAACACCACCACCACCCGATCGAGCCACGTGAAGCGCGGGTGTCGTGTGTGCGTGTGTGTATGCTTCGAGAGAGAGAGAGAGAGAGCCAACGACGCGACCGGAGATCTACATAACACGGCGTTAGTGTATATATTGACGCTCTGAGGCCAGACATCACGTGCTCTCCTCTTACACGCTAAGAGGAGGCACCGCGCCAGCTGGAAATAAAGGACCAGTTCCTTTATTGACACTCGGCTCTCTCTCCCTCTCTCTCTCGCCATCGCGATCCAACCACTTCTCTCTCTCTCTCTCTATTCGCCCGAATCGAGCCGATGCCATCACTCTCGCCCGGGACTCACGCTCGCTGGCTGACCCCTCCCCCGATCACTATTACTCCAGGAACGACAGACGCCGACAGCAAGGCGACGACGGAGCAGCAGCAGCCAGCGACACGACCAGAGGAAACGCCGGCGAAGGAGCTTGTCGCTTCCGCCGAAGCCACCACCACCAAGACGGAGAAGGAGGCCCCCAGCAGGAAGAAGCCGCAGCAGAAGTCGGAGCGTCAGCAGCAGCATACCAGGCTGGAGGACATGCCCATCGGCGCCGGCGTCGTGGTCATCACCGAGCAGCCCGGCATCGAGCACGGCGGCGACGGCGACTTCATCGCCGTCCGCTCCCACAACAACAAGAAGAAGGCGGCGGGCGGCAAGCCTGAGCCCGAGCCCGTCGAGGCCCCGGCCACGAGGGACGTCCCTAAGGGCGCCAAGCCGGCTGCCGCCTTCCGCGGCGACTCCAGGGCCACCAAGTCCTCGGATGCGATCGCGACCGTCACCGTGGGCGGCCGCCGCCGCCAGGAGGGCAAGTTCCGCGGCGATCGCGCCGAGTCATCCGACGCCATCGCCGTGGGCGCCAGGGGCGCACGATCCCAGTCGCGCGACCGACGTCGCGAGGACTCGGGTGCCGCCAAGGGCACTGGCAAGGCCTCGGGCCGGAAGCACCAGGAGCAGCCGGCCCGCGCAGCCGCGACCCCGCCCGTCCCCGATGCGGAGAAGGTGGTGCCGAAGGCCCCGCCGGCTGCGCCCGTGTGGTCGACCCCCACCAAGCCGATCGTCTCCTTCGCCCAGATCCAGGCCGAGGAGCAGGAGAAGCAGACCACGCACCCGACCACTACGGCGCCTGAAGCCGCCGCTACTGCCGCCGCGCCGGTGGTCGAGGAGAAGCCGAAGAAGACCCGAAGCCGCGAGCGCAAGGACAAGAAGCCCGCCCGCGAGCGCACCGGCGGCAAGCCCGCCGCCGTCGCAGCCGCTGTCGCCACCAGCGAGGCTCCCGCACCTCAGCCCACAGCGGAGCAGTCTGCTGGCCCTGCGGCTGCGGCTGCCGCGCCCGTGGCGGCGACCCAGCTCACGAGCTTGCCCGCGCCCGCGCCCGTCGCCGACGGCCCAACAACGGCCACGCCGGCCGCGGCCAGCCCTACGGCGGTTACGGTCGCTAGCGCTGCGGTGCCGGAGACTCCGCTAACCGCCCTTCCGCAGAGGACAAACCAGCGGAAGCGCGGCGAGCGGCCTTCTCAGCAGCTCTACCAGCGCAAGACCCCCACCGCGGTGTCATCATCGCCATCGCCCGTCCGCAGCGCCACCACTGCCGAGAAGGACGGAGGAGGCCAGCAGGCGACACCCTCCGCCCCTGCGCCGGTCACCGCCGCCACCACCGCGATCGAACGGCCGCAGCCGCAGCCCACGCCGGCTTTGAGCCCCGTGCTGGCTATCAGGCCGGTCGCGGCCACGTCCCCGCCGCCGGCCGCGGCCCCTCAGCACCACCAGCAGCCGCTTCATCACGAGTCGACCCCCACCCGGCCCACACAGCCGTTCTACCGGCCACCGCCGGCTGGCGGCCGCGGCGGCTTCGGTGGCGTCGGCCCAGCGGCCGGCGGCGTCGTGCGCGGGCCCTTCCAGTCGCCCGTGGTTCACAAGCAGCACCAGCACCCGCGGGTGGCCCAGCCCGCGCCCGGCGTGGCGGCTGCGCTGCAGCCGCAGCCGGTCATGCTCTCGTTCGGGTCGTTCCCGGCCACGCCCGCCGTGCCGACGCCGGTGGGCGCGGGTCCCATCATCCCGCCCGCGATCCTGCCCCTCGACTTTGCCCCGTTGCAGCCGCCCGCCGCCCGCCCGCAGCCCCCACAATCGACCGCGCCGCAGCCGACTCCGCCGACCACGTCGACCACCACCAGCTCCAGTTCTTCGTCCGCGGCCACCAGCGGCAACGGGGTGTACACGACGACCCCCGTTCACCGCGGCTATGGTGCTCAGCACTATGCGCGCGGCCACGTGTCGGGGGTGCCGAAGCCGGCGATGTCGCCCACGGTGGGACCTCACACCGCCTACCCGGCGGCGCGCGCCTACCAGCACCACGCCCCGGGGTACGGCCACCACGACTCGTCGGGCCGGGGCCGGGCCAGCAGCAACCGATCGGACTACCACGCGCGACCGTCGCCGCCCTCTACTGCGGGCGCCGCGACTCCCCAGACCTCCACTGCGTCGCCGGTCTCGCCGGTGACGACCACGACGCCCTCTTCGCCGGCGCCGGCGATGTCGCTGCCCGCTGACGTCAGCAACGGAGGTGGTGGCGGTCGAGGCCGGAGCAGCAGTAACAGCCCGAGCACCAAGCGTGGGCGGCCCGCGTCAGCCTACGGGTCGCCGCTGAACGGACACCGCCCCGCCGCCGGCAGCAGCAGTAGCCCGCAACAGCAGCCGCAGTACCAACAGCAGCAGCACGTGCCTTCGCCATCGATGGGTGGTAGAGGAAGAGGAGGTCGCGGGCGGGGAGGCAAGTTCGGCTCCTCTTCGCCTGCGCTCGGCTCTCCGTCGCTCTCCTCGCCTGCCACGCTCCCAACGGTCTCTCCGTCGCCATCGTCGGCGTCGGCATCGCCAGCCACGGCTCGCGCTCCTTCTTCTACTGCTGCCGCCTCGTCGTCACCCGCGTCTGTGTCGGCGCAGCATCACCACCACCCGCCGCAGAGGAAGCAGCAGGTTTGGCGAAAGGCCCAGCGAGAACACGGCGAGGTACGCACTCGCCTCTGTTGATATCGAGCACTTGGGTAGTTTTCCTCACACGACCAACGACACGACACGCACCACAGACAACGGCGACGACATCAGGCGCGCCCGTAACGCCATCATCCACCGTAACGAAAGCCGAGTGAGGAGCACACAGCGAAGGGGGGGGGCACCGGCCGCGACGACGTCTCAAGTATACTCCCCTATCTGGGGTGTCTGTAGAGGACAGCACCCCACCACACCGATACTTTTTATTTATGTTTTTTGTTACAACCCCCCAAACCCAACCAATACCCACCCCCCGACAATAAAATACCCTTTTGACCACCTCTCATTCGCTCCCGACCAGAGCAGCGAACCCGAGGCGGAGATGAGTTGATAAAAGGCCGTTCCCAGTATCTCACACATATCACTTCTCACCTGCCCACGATCATGAACACCCCAGCAGGCAGCGCGAACGAGCCGGTCCTCCGCTACACGGCCAAGGCCACCCCGGAGCACCTGGCCACGGCCCAGTCGAGCTCCATGCTCTCGACCGTCTTCCGCTCCGCCGCGCCCGAGCTCACCGCCCCTCACGAGGTCTACTACCTCCCGCTCGACCGCATGGGCCTGCGCGCTCCCGCCACCCCCGAGCACTGGCGACCCACCTCGCTCGACTACCTCGTCCGGGTCCCCGCAGCTGACCCGGCCACCGCCGCTGTCTATTCGGCCCAGTGCGACCTGAACACGGGCGAGGTGACGGCCCTGCACCAGGGCCAGCTCCGGTCCAGCTTCGCCCAGGTGCTGGCCCAGGCCCAGGCCGAGCACGCTGAGAGTGGTAAGCTCTACGAGCCGCGAAGGCTGGCGTCGCCGCAGCTGCACGTGACGGCGCTGTGGCTGCACGCGGTGCACGAGGGCGCGGCCACGAACTGCGGCGACGATGTGGTCTACGTGATCGACCCGCTCGACAAGACGTGGCGGCAGGCCGACCGACCCTACCACATGGCCGAGTTCATCAACGTCGCCTCTGAGAGAGCCTCGAACTTCTTCAGCAACCTCAACGTCGACGACGACCTAGCGGACTAAGTACCACCGCCAGAGCAACATGTTGCAGCAGGCAAAGAGAAAGAGGCGAGAACATGAAGGAAAACATGCATGCATCTTCATTTCTTTTGTTGTTTATACATGTGATGACAGAGGAGGTGATGGTGGTGGTGCCCTTCCTGGCCAAGAGGAAGGAAACCGAGAGAGAGTAGACAGAGAGACAGAGAAAGATGGAACTTGGAGGAGGCTTCTTCAGACGAGGTGGAAGATTTGTCCCGCCTCCTTCAAGTAGCAGATGGTGTCTTCCAGCTTCTCCAGCAGGATGGCCTCCACGGTCGCGTGGTTCATCTTGGCGTTCATCCTGTTGGCCACAACAGGCGGAGAAGAAGATGTTAGTCTCAAAGGCGAAGAAGAAGAAGAAGAAGAGGCAAAAGGAAGGAAGTTGTACTTCTTGAGCTTCTGCTCGAGGTCGTCGATGGAGAGCGCATTGGAGCTCCGTTCTGTGCGAAGCTGGAACAGGGCCTGTTTCACCGCACGCACCCTGTGTGGAACCGGTTGTGCGCGAGTTGTGTGTGGTCAGCGTCGATCCAAATCCCACACACTCGGGCGCTCGAGAGGCAGCGCGCGTACCTTTCCTCGGTGACTTCGGCCACGTCCGCATCATCGTCTTCGTCATCGTCGTCGTCGTGCTCCTCTTCAACCATGCCATCGCCGTCAGCCTCCATCTGCTCTTCGTCCATGGGGTCAAGACCATCGTCGTCGTCCTCATCTTCCACATCCATCTTCTCCTTGCCCTTGCCCCTGCCCTTGGTGTTGGCCGTCGTCGCCTTGCCAGCGCCATTCTGCGCCGCCGGTGGCTGCTGCCGCACGGCCCGGGTCGGCCTAGCGTTTCCGTTTCCGTCGGCCGACGGCGCCGGTCGCTTGTTGGGAGCGACGGCTTTGGTCGAGTGTTGGTCCTCCTCCTCCTGACCGCCAGCGGTCTGGCCCTGGCCCTTCGTCGCCGCTTGCTTGGCCCTGGGCTGGGCCTCATGGTAGAGGGCATAGTTGACCAGCGCCACGGCAGCCTCGGCGTCCTCCCTGGTCACTTCGTGCGAGAGCCGGCACTTGGCGTGGGCCGCCGACAGACGGATGAGGGTCTCGAGCGTACGGGCGGTGACAGGCTGCGTGCGCACGTCCATCTTGCCGCGCAGCTTGGTGTACTCCTCGGCGATGTAGTCCTCGGCGTCGTCCATGAGCTGCGGCTGGAACCGGTTCTTGGCGTAGATGATGTACTTCTTGATGAACTCCATCGTGTAGAGCTGACGCTTCTCCTCGCCGCCCTCCTTCTTCCGCCTGTGCAGCGGGTTGTGCTTCTGGAACATGGGCGTCTCCACGACGTCCTCTCGGTGGGCCGACAGCTCCGACATCAGGTCTGTGTTTGGTGTGGCAATGACGGAGTTAAGGTGGCAGATTGCGTCAGCAACATTGCAGCCACCTTAACGAGAAGGGCACTGCCAGATGGTGAGGTGAGGTGTGCACCGTGGTGACCGTCGGACATGTCGAGGGGCGTGCCCTCCAGCTCGCCCGGCGGGCGGTACATGTGCGATCGCAGCACGTGCTCGGTGATGGACCTGTCGTGCGCTGGATTGAGCTCGTCGAGAACGATGAAGAGGAGATCGAAACGCGAGAGCAGCGAGTCGGGCAGGCGGATGTTCTCCGACGGCTTCTTGTGCCGGTTGTACTGGCCGTAGGCAGGATTGGCCGCGGCCAGCACGCTGTAGCAGTCATAATGGACGCAGCGGTGGTATCAGCGTCAAGCAGTGAACCATGGTTCCTGCGGGGCCGCAAGGTCGTCGTACCTGCACCGGGCGTTGAGCGAGGTGTGGATGCCGGCCTTGGCGATGGTGACCGACTGCTGTTCCATGACTTCGTGAATGGCCACGCGATCCTCCTCGGACATCTTGTCGAACTCGTCGATGCACACCACACCCCTGTCCGCCAACACCATCGCACCGGCCTGACCAGGTAAAATGATACACGATCACGACGGGACCAATGCGTCAGCAATTGCCCACGCATTGTGGCTGCTAAGCTTAGGGTTACCTCGAGTCTCCGCTCGCCCGTCTCGCTGTCGGTGGTGACGGCGGCGGTGAGACCGACGCCCGAAGAGCCTCGGCCAGAGGTGGAGATGGCCAGCGGGGCGATGTGCAAAATGAAACGCAGCAGCTGCGACTTGGCGGTCGAAGGGTCACCCACCAACAGAAGATTGATATCACTGTCGCCGACAAGGGGTTGTGAGCACGATGAACGTAAAAGAGAGGTGGCGACGGGGACAGCGACGGTGAAACGTTAACGTACCCTCTGAGGTGAGTGCCATTCTCGAGATTCTTCTCGTTGCCGCCCATGAGGAAGAGCAGCAGCGCCTTCTTGATGTAGTCGTGGCCGAAAATAGAGGGCGCGAGGGACTGCGCCATGCGAGAGAAGATATCGTCGCCTGAACGGTGCACATACAGCGAGATGAAGAATGAGTCAAGGCTCACAGCATCGTAGAACAGACGAAGGGGTGCCTACCGGGACCGGTGGATCGGCGGGCCTCGGCCCTGATGTTCCTGATGTCGTCTTCGGTGATGAAGGTGTCGAGCGACTCCTTGCCGATTATCTCAACGTTGTTGACCACGAGAATGGTGCGGAAGTTGGCCTTGGTCACGTTGTTGCCCAGCTTGCTGCCGAGCGGGACGGCCCTGAACACGCCCACCACGCGGACGCGGTCGCCGGGCTTCACGCGGTCGACCAGATCGTGGTCGAGCATGGCGTCGACCGAGCGCGGCAGCTGTCCGGGCGGAGCGCGCTCGGGCATCTCCTGGATGGTCACGGTCTGCTGGTCCTTGTACACGCTCCAGCCAAACTCGGTCTCGAGCGGGTTCTTGTTGTCGTCGTGGGTCGGGTAGATGGCCGACGTGGGGATGCCGGTCGTTGTCGCCGCGTCGCGGTAGTTGCGATAGAGCACCTCGCCGGTGCGCGGGCAGTAGTGCACGCTCCGCACCACCTTCGGGCGCACGAGCGAACCTGTTGGGAGGCAAGCGGGTCACACTCAAGGTGAGAAGCAGAAGCTTAGGTAAGCGGTGAAGGAGAAGGAGGTGCGTACACTTGGTGATGATGCCCTCCACGACGACGAGGGTGCGCAGAAAGTCGGTGGTGAGGCTGCGCGGCGAGACGTGGTGCGCAGGACCCAGGTTGGGCGTGAAACCCACGAACCACTGCTGGCGCGGAGCTTCCATGATGGAGGAGGCCATGCGCGCGGTCTTGCCCTCGCTCGCACTCTCTTCCTCCAGTCGCTTTGACTCTTCCTTGAGAGCCTCCGTGAAGGCTTCGATGTAGACCAACGGATCAGACAGAAGCCTGGAGCGATTAATTTGGAGATGGAGAATTGAGGAAGATTAATCCCTTGTTGGGCTGCAAGTAGAATGGAGATCGCCCGCATGCTTTGCAGGACAATTGAAGAGATGAAGCATGGAGGACATGAGCGAAGCAAAGCACTAATAAAAGCGAAAAAGAGGAAAGTGCCTACCCGCGCGCCATGGTGGGACTGCTGTTTAGCCAATCATTGTAGTTGATGATGAGACGCCTCTCGAGGTGATTACCCAAGATTCGCTTCACGTCGTCGAGGAGTGGTGGCCGAGGCGGGAACGGAACGGTGAGGAAGCGTTTGAATTCATCTTTTATCTTTCTTAAATCCTCCCCAGCCGCACCGGCAGATGATCCCATCATGTTGATATTGGAGAAGGAGTGCTTCGAGAATCGATGGAGGCCTGGTTCACCTCCTTCAATTTCCTTGTGATTCGATCGGCAGCTGTTGGCCGTTGTTGTTTTTTCACCGCCACCAGTTTTGGCGGGAACGGCCTTGTCTCGGGAGTGTCCCCAACGCACTGTCGCCAGAACGCCTAACGAACCGGGAAATATCCGGCCACGGCCGCCGGTGAATTTTGGAGTGAGATTTGGGGGCGACCAGGACGACGATTGTCCATTGCCTTTGTGATCGAAAAACATTTATAATAATGAGGAGGATCAGCAGAGTTGTGGCGTCGTCCGCTCGCGGTACGGCCCTGAACAAGTCTAGCCGCACTGCCGCCGTCTTCTCCCGCGGCTATGCTGCCCCCGAGACGCCCCAGACCGATTTCAAAGTGACCGATGCGGGCATTCGCGTCTATGCTGTACGCCCCTGCCCACTACACGACATACTCCCCAAAAACGGGGCTCGAGCAAACCATTCGCGCCAGTACCATTCTAATTAATGGTTTGTTCTCGCCACAGCATGGCGTTGTGCACGACATGAACTTCCTGGGCGATCTTCCCGCCGATGCGCAGGAGGTCCTCTCCGGCAAGGAGTGGGTGCCCCAGTCTGTTTCCGACTTCACCGCCAGGTGGGAGAAGGACGCCCCCGAGCTCGCTAATCAGGCCCGCCAGCTTGAGTCTCTCATTACCAAGTTCGAGAAGGACCCCGTCCAGTTCGGCAAGTCTGAGGCTTATCTGCGGGACATTGCCATTCACGTATGCCCCCCCCCAAATACCGCAATCAAGCTACAATACAACGTGTCGGCATTGAATGCTTATTGACATCTTATATATAACCCTAACAGACTACGCTCGAGCGTGCTGCCGCTCGCGACGTGAGCCCTGTTGAAATCGCCCTCACCCACTTCTGGACCGCCTACTCCGAGGTCCCCTCTGGCGGCAAGCGTATGTTCTGCTCTACTTGGCCTTTGATAAATGTCCCGCCCCATGCCTATCAATTTCGAACCTAATTGATTTGCGCATTTTGTAGTGCGCGAGTCCGCCCCCACCCAGCTCGAGCGCGTCAAGGCCTTCCTCCAGAGCAAGAAGGATCCCGAGCTCAGCGCCCAGAACTCGCGGGCGAGGAAGACTGCTGCCATCGTCAAGTTCGTCCAGGCCTCGAGCGCCGAGGACAAGGCTGCCGCTGCCGCTCTGCTCCTCGGTTCGGAGAAGGGCCAGGCCCTCAAGGCCGCCCTCAAGGGCGTTAACGACGCCGCCAAGAAGGAGCAGATCGTCAAGCAGCACCTTCAGTGGGATGAGGCCACCCAGGCCGCTGCCGAGCTCACTCAGAGGCACCCCGAGTTCACCGAGCTCAAGGAGGTCCTCGCTCACTTCCCTCCCCTCGTTCATCACATCGGCGAGCCTTCGGCCGTTCAGTACAGGTTCAAGGTACAGCCCCCCCTCATCAATCTCATTCGTGCTTGTGCGCCGAACTTTCGATTTGGCGGCTTTATCACCTTTATTTTTATTTTCATCTTGCTGTCATGATGTGCTTATGGCTCTGAGGCTAATGTCTCTCTGTTGACACATGCAGCACGCCACCGACAAGGCCTACAAGAAGTGGCAGCAGAACTACTCGCTCACCAGCTCCGATGAGGTCACCGAGAAGGTACTCTACCACTTTGTTTTGTCCTGGTTGTTCCTCCCTCGTCCCTCGTGTTCTTCTCTCGTTCTTCTCTCGTTCGTCTGGAGTGGTACAATGATGATGCAATTACGCTATCGATGCCTCTTGTCTAACAACCAAGAGTGCACTACCATGAGAAATAATTATTGGAGCTGTCTGATACACCACTACCAGTCTCTCTTTCTCCCGTGTCTTTCGCTTCAGTGGGCGTTACTCTCTCCGTGTTGCTCACACCGCTTCTCTCTCTCTCTCTCTCAATACACCAAACACATGACTAGGACCCCCTGCTCAAGAACCTCAGGGAGCTCCTCTACTCGGGCAAGCCCGCCAACACCGTCGCCGACGCCAAGAAGGCCCAGGCCCTCCAGCGCAGCTTCCCGGGTCTGCTCTTCTCGCGCGACGTCGAGTCCTTCTCCAACTTTGTGAGGAAGGACGAGGAGGTCAAGAGCCAGCTGAGCACCATCTACGAGGACAGCCTGAAGGAGTACCCCAACGACCCGGCCCTCGCCGTCCCCAAGGACCTCGACCAGAGGGTCAAGCTGTGGAGCAAGCACACCCAGGAGCTCGCCGACGTGCAGCAGCAGTGGCTCGACGCCAAGATCGCCTTCATCGACGCCAAGATCCAGGAGGGAATGGTCCAGATGGACAAGTTCGTGAACGGCACCGTGGATGACATCCTCGCGGACCACCCCGAGTGGGAGAAGGAGATTGAGGACGACATCGCCAACCACCGCTGGGACCCCGAGATGGAGAAGAAGGAGTACGACAACGCCCTCCACCACTACTACGAGCACCACACCGTCCACGCCTAAGCTCCCCCCCGATCGGCTGTGTCCCTCCCCCCCACTATTTCTTCTTCGGTGTGTACCAACTGTTCTCCTGTCTACCTTCTTCTTCCTCCTCCTCCTGTCCGCCAAACAATGGAGCCGCTCCTTTCTCTGTCGTCTCGATATCGCACCCCTGGTGTTGGGCGAGCCGACGCGGCCAGCTTCCTCAGTACTGGAGGAGTACATCTGGGGCCATCCACCTCTCCCTTGTGCCCGATGCTGTTCAGAGGTGGCCCCAGATGTACTCCTCCAGACGAAGAGCTCGCTTCTCACCCCCCCCCCCCCGCCAAACCACCAACCATCGCACCAAAGATCATTGAACATGTTTCCTTGCACTACCCCTATTCCTGCCGACCAGCACAAGACAACGTTGGTCTCGGTTAGGGAAGGGCCGTGGTGAGGGTCCCAGTGATGCGACAAGCCAGGTCGTGTGTGCTCATGAGGGCGAGTCTTGCTTCTGCGGCTCAGGTGGTGGTGTCTTGCTGCTGCTGCCGTGCTGGAGCATGCACTGCTTGAAGGCTGTCAGCTCCGCCTGGCATCGTTCTTCCTTGTACCCGTTCTTGGCCAGGCACGTCTGGATGTCGCATGCCAGCACTTGGCATGGGCCGGGCGGCTTCACCTCGCTTGTGTCTGGACCGGCAAGTGTACAACATGGGGGGGGGTTAGTTGGTGCTTCGGGTCATGGTCTCCTTGGCGGGGGCGCTACTGTACCGTGCTTTGATGAGGAAGAGGCAGTGCTTCCCATTGAGTGTTATTGTTGGCTGCGTCGAGGAGGGTGTGGCAATACGCAGGGTAAAAGATAAGGAATATTACAATTTAGCAGAACAACTGGTGCGTACCACGCGCGCCGGAACCAAGACGGCACGTGAAGGAACGAAGGTTTCATGGTGTAGTGGTATCACGTCTGCCTCACACGCAGTAGGTCCTGGGTTCGAACCCCAGTGAAACCAATCTTTTTTGATTTGGTTTGCGCCGAATCGAGAAATAGAACAGTCAGGCGGTTCACCGAAGATGCAATACACCAAAAGCAAAACGACTTGTATTTTGCCGCGGACATAGACACACGAAACCACTCTCACCAAGAGTATGGCAAGAGTACCACCGTGCCGGCTGATGGGGAGGCTATGCCGCGCCGGCAAGGTAGTGCTCCAGACGCCCGAGGTAACCTGCCGCCTGCCCGGGCCAAAGCAGCCCAAGGGGAGGGCCAGCAAGCGAAAGGCATTCAACCGACGCTTCATGCAGGGGAGCAGCAATGAGCGATTGTGCAACAGCAACCTGCGCTCTGGGGACTTGGTGCTCTGATGTAAAGCGAGCGTAACAGTGATGAAAAAAGATTGGTTTCACTGGGGTTCGAACCCAGGACCTACTGCGTGTGAGGCAGACGTGATACCACTACACCATGAAACCTTACTTATCTCTGTAGATCGGTGGTGATACAGACAACACTGGCAGTGTTACAGTCTTGCAGAAAATGGGAGAGGCAGACTGTTGCTCTGCCCGTGGGTTACGCTTTACCGGCAGGCTCTGCGCGCCACACGGGAAGGGAACTGTACATTGTGGTGGTGAACTATTTACAACTGTTCTGGCTGCCGCCACGCGGCTTGGCTCTCGGGTCCTCCTCGGGAGAGGCTATTTACAGGGGAACTGGCTAGGAGAAGAGCAGGAGAGCCGACGCCCGAGCTTGAAGGTGATGGTTTACGGCGAGGTCAACGCGGCGTTCAAAACTTCGGCTCTCCTCTGCTGGTGGCGGGTGGAAGGAGAGGGCGGGGGCGTGGCGGGAACTGCTGACTGCGCCGCAGCAGTGCCGCGGCCGCTGACGGGCTGAGGAGGAGCAAAGGCCCAGGCCGGCGCAGGGGTCTCGGGCAGAGGGTCCGCCTCGGCGGTGCCGTTGAGGATGAAGTCGAGCGAGTTGCGAGCGCCCCCGGGAGCGACGGCCAGCTGCTGGCGGCGATGATGGTCGTGGTCGTGGTGGTGCGGGTGGAGGGAACCCAAGCGCTCGAGACGACGCGGCAGGGCGGCCGAGTGCGCTCGCAGGTCCGAGGCGGCATCGACGCGGAGCTCCTGAATGCGAGCCTCCCACTCGGTGCGCGTGTCCTGGATCATCTCGCGGCCGGCCATCTCGATCTCCTCGCTGTCCTCCTGCTCCCTGAGGCTGGCGAGCTCGGTCTTAACGCAGGCCAGCAAGGCGAAGATGGACTTCTTCGCCTGCGCCGCATCATCGGTGGCGGTGGTCTCCCGCTTCTGCATGGCGCCGAAGAGCCGCTCCATGCCTCCCATGCCGGCGTCAGCCGTGGCATACGACGCCGAGGGCCGCCTGACGAGAAGCGGCGGCAGTGGACGGGCGGGCAGAGGCCTTGCGCCTGCCATGCGCGCTCTGAACCTCTTGGCGCTGTCCACGGCGTGCCTGCGGGTCTCCTGCAAGGGCTCGGGAGTCGAGTCGTCGCTATCGATGAGCTTGTGACGGGTCTCGTCGAACGAGGCCTTCGACGCGGAGTTGGAGCGAGAGCGCTTTCCCTTTTGCCTCAGACGCTTGTTCCGTTCGCGCGTAGTGGTGGTCATGTCCTGAGGATCTGCACGGTCGTCGACGAGGGTCAGCAACGGTTTTAATCGGAGCTGGGTGCCGTTCAGGCGAGCCGAGAGAGAGAGAGAGAGAGAGAGAGTGAAACTGTACCCTTGACCTTGCGCTTGCGCGAGCAGTTGGAACAATGGGCACCGAACTGCTGCGCGTTGCGGAAGTGGCTCTGGGGCCAAGTGTGCTGGCAAAACTTGCAGTGGTAGTACGCCGTCCCGTCCGGGTTCTCGTTCACTGCGCGAGAGGTTCGTCAGTCCTGTGGCGGTCACTTGCATCGGTCACAAAAAATGAGGCGAAGGCGTACTGCCATGCTGGTAATAGTTGGCCGGTGGCGAGGGAGGGCCGGACTCGTGGCCTTGCAGGCGGGCCACGCGAGGCAAGGAGCCAGTGTCGAGGTCGGGCTGGCCTTCGTCGCCCTCCTCGCCGCTCTCCACGAACCCGTCGGACTCGTCGTCGTCCTCCTCGGCACGCGGTTGGGTGTTGTCCGGACGAGTGTCAGAACGCGTCTCGACGCCGTAGTCATAGTGTTGCTCCTCCTCTATGTACATTTCGTCGACGTCAATCTCATCTTCGTCTTCTTCGAGCTTCTTGCTGCCCGTGGACACCAACGAGTCGGAGATGCTGCGCTTGCGCTTCGGCTGGCTGCGTGCGGAAGCGAAAGCGCGGTGCTTGGCGGACGGTTGGTCCGGCAGCCGGAGCGACGACGACGAACCCACACGAGCGCGCGACAGCGGGAGCGGGAGCGAGAAGATGGGTTGCCCAGACCCGGGTCCCAGCGGCGGGGAGACGCGAACGCTAGCGTTGACACTAAGATGGTGCGGGCTGTAGAGATCTACACCGAGCGGGCTGCTAGAGGTACTGTCGCAAGGGCTCGGGCCTAACGAGAGTTGCGGGGACGAAGTCGGTGACGATGAGGTCTCCTCAACCACGAGATCCTTGGTGTACTGCACATTAAAGGACAAGGTTACATGAGAATTATAAGCAGATGATGAGAATTCGATCTTAAGGCTTTTGATGGTGATGACCTAAACCCATAAAGCAAGAGGCACAAACGTGTGATGCATCTTCATTCGAAATTGAAAGTGAAATGGAAAGAAGGTAAGTTACCCAAGTAGGTTGAGTGTCAACGGCGTTTGTAGAGGGTGAGTAGCGAGCGCCGACCGAAGAGCCAGTAGAAGAAGTGACGAGCTCGTGAACTTCCATCGTAGTAGTCGAAATGGATGAACGACTTGAATTTACAGGAGATGGAGAAGTTGTTCGGGTAGTATCGAGTAGTAGAAGTTGAGTAGTAGAGGAGCGGAATGTATACAATATGAACAGATAGGTACAAGAGAAGTTGAAGAAGCTAGTGCGACACCGTAGCGATGATGGTGAGCGATGATCGAAATCGGAAGGGTGGTAACTCTACAGGAAGGTACGCGGTAAATTAGAAGCTCATGTACTCCGCCTCGGAAGACCGAAGATGGAGGACTGTTTGTGCTACTGAGAGCCGAGCAGCGTTCGGTTCGCTATCGACCGAACCCTTGTACTGTGAAGAGATGGGTTCTCCTTCCTCCTCGGCGTGTCGTCAAGGCCCAACACTCGCAAGGGAATTAGGAGAGCGCGATTGAACGCTTGAAAGCGGGTCGAAATCGATTTCGAAGCAGCAGTAGCCGAGAGTGATGGCGGCGAAGCAGCAGTGAGGCGGCGGTTGGTTTCAGTGGCAGTGACGATGGGTACGAACCGAAACTGAAGCGGAAGCGGACAGTGAAAAGTTACTGCTGACTGCCGCCGTACGAGATTTCTCTACCAATCGCACACTGGCTTTGTTCGATCCACGCCGAATTTCCTGTTGATACCTTTCACAACCGAGAAATTTCCAGGAGGGTCCGTATTGCCAACGGCTACTTGAGAACACGCGGAAAAGTGTTTAATATTTAAAATATGCTCGCCTTCTCAGGGTTGTCTGCTTGGCATTCTCTGGTATACCTGGAAGGGAGCGCGTGCTTCGGCGGTAATCTCACGGTCGGCGGTAACTACACCACCATCACAGAAGTCGACTTCTCAGCCCTGATGATGGCGCGGGATCTGAAAAGGGGAAGACGACAAAGAAAAGGCTCCGTGACCACGAGGAGGAGGTGCAGCGTGCCCGCGAAAGAACAAGGCAGGGAAGAGGAGGGCTGGAAAGAAATACAGAGCTCACTGTGTTTACCTCACCTTGGCCCACGCCAGAGAGTCAAGTGGCACTACACAACGGGGGCGGGGGAGGGTGCGGTGGCTTGAGCAACAACGGAGTGGCGCACCGCACACGATCACAAGGGACCTCCACTTCACTTGCCGATGTTCATGAGGCGACCCAGAACAGCGTCGAGCTCGCCCAGCTTCTTCTCGGACTCGGCAATATCTGTTGGAAAGAAGAAGAAAAGAAGCTTAGGGCCGGGGTGCGCTTCCGGCGCGTAAGCGAGTGGGACGTAGCGTACGTTGCGCGAGCTCGGCCTCAACCTCCCTGCGCCTGTGCACCTCCTCCTCGTACTTCTGAGTGAGAGTGATGACCTCCTCCCTCAGCGACTCAGCCTCCTCGGACACTTCGGCCACGGCCTCCTCGCCCAGCTTCTGCAGCTGCTCCGAGGCGACCATCCACTGCTCGACCTCGCCCTCAAGACGTTCGATCTGTTGTGAAAAGAACGAACTGTCATTAATCACTCCTCAAAAAATAATGAAATAGAGGCCAGCGCGCTTTACCTGCGCAGACTTTTCGTCCAGGAGCCTCTGGTACTCCTCCAACTTGGCCTGCAGCTCCGTTGGGGACTGGCCAGACCTGGCCTCGGCCAGCCTCCGCTCGACTTCCTCCCTCTTGGCGGTCTCGTTCTCCAGCTTCTTCCTGTCGTTGGCGAGCTCGCCCTCGAGCGAGGTCACCTCGGCCTGCAGACGCTTGATTTCGGCTGCGATGAACGCAAACAGAAGAAGCGTTAGGTCAAGGCGGCGCACGCAATTGCGTTCACAGGGAGAGAGGTACCGCTGTTGTCGACGGCGGCAGCGCTGGCGGCAGCCGTGCGGGCCTTCTCGAGGTCGGCCTGCAGGGCGGCCTTGTCCTTCTGCAGCTGGACGATGGTGGCGTTGCTCTTGTCGGTCTCCTGCTGCAGCGCGGCCACTTGCGAGCGAGTGGACGCCTCCGAGGTGGTGAGCGAGGCAATGAGGCCGTTGAGCGACTTGACCTCCGTCTCCAGCTCGGCGACGCGCTGCTGGCTGACATTGGCGCGCTGTTGGGCCTCCGCAAGCTGCGAGAGGAATTTGAAAAAAACGTCAGGCTTGAAGCTCAACAAGCTTAAAGGTGGCGACGGTGAGCACCTCCTGCTTGAGGCTGTCGGCGGCCTTGGCCTGCTCGCCGTCGCGGTCGCCCACGGCCTTCTCGAGGAGGGCCTGACGCGACTCGGCGGCGTCCCTGCGGGCCTGCGCCTCGGCGAGGGCAACCTTCACGCCTCCGACCTCATCGGTGAGGGCCTCCACCTGCTGTCCGAGCGACGAGGCCTTCTCCGTCTGCTCCTCCAACCGGGTCTGCGCATCGGAGAGGGCTGCACGCAAGAAAGAGAAGGCCAAGCTTGGTCAGCCAACCATCAAAGCAAAGCTTGAGTGCCCATGCAACGCGAAGAGAGCGTACACTTCTTGGCGGCTTCGAGCTGCTCGGCGAGGTGGCGCGCCTTTTCGCTCTCGGTCTGAGCCTGGCGGGCCTTGTTCCCGGATTCGGCGCGGAGGGTGGCGATCTCCTGCTGCAGCTTCTGCCTCTCCTCGTCGGCCTGGCCCTCCTGGGCCTGCGCCTGCTCGGCGGTCTTGAGCGTGGCCAGCTCCAGCGCCTCGCTCTTGGTCTGCAGCTGGGCGAGGAGGGTCTGATTCTCGGTCGTCAGCTCGGCCTTGGCGGCAGCGGCCTCCTTGGCTGTCTGCTCGGCAGACTCGGCAGCGCGAGCCTTGGCGCGCAGCTGTGACTCCAAATCGGCCTGGCGACATTGAGACAAAACGTGGTTAATGCGTGCGTTCCTGTAAATGATCACTTGCGAGGCGCCGCGTTGGGTACCTTCTCCTTGGTGAGCGCCTGGCGCCTCTCCTGCTCCTGGGTGAGACGCGTCTGGGCTTCGGCGGCGGCTTTGCGCGCATCGTCGAGCTCCTGGTCTCTCGCCTGGGCCACAACGTTCTGGCCCTCGCTGCGCTTCTTCAGGTCTTCCAGCTATTTACCACCGGCGGGGGGAGGGCATTTTTCAGTAATACGCTTTGATCAGAAGAAGTTGGCCGGTACGCCGAAGGGGTGTCTTACCTGGGCTCGGAACTCGTCGGCCTCCTTGGCCTTGGCGGCAGCCTCCTGCTCCTTCTCGGCCAGCTTCTTCTTGACCTCGGTGAGCTCGGCGCTTCGCTCCTCGACCACCTTGGCCAGGCTCGCGAGGACGGCGCCGCTCGCTCCGCTGTTGGCGCTGCTGCTGCTCGTGGCGGCGGTGGTGCTAGCCCTGGGCGTCGCGGGTGACGCCGAACCAGCAGGAGCGGCGGCGGCGGCAGTCGTGGCCACTGGCGTCGCCTTAGCCGGCGCCGGTGCGGACACGGCCGGAGCTGCCTGCGTGGGTGCGGGAGCAGGAGTGGCGACAGGCGCCGGCGCGGTGGCGGGCTTGGTGACCTAGCCCCATATTGCGGCGTGAGGGAACGAACGCGAATTCGGCGCACTTGGCCGACATGAGACGGAGAAAAGAAAGCCAAGCCAGGCAAGATAGATACCGGTTCGGGTTCGGCGGCAGCCGGCGCGGACTCGGCGGATGACGAGGAGCTGGAGCTCGAGCTCGAGCTGGAGGCTGCCGCGCCCTTGCCGAACGGCACAGTGGTGGGACCGGATTCGGTGACAGCCACCGGCACGAACGCCTCTGTGCGTGGGAAAGGGAACACGCGCGCAAGTCAGAACTTCCGGGGCTCCTTGTGAAGGAATGGAGGCGTGGTGGCGGCAGGGAAGCGGTACTGATGTCGATCACGTAGAGGTCAGCATCGCCGCCCACAGAGTAGAGCAGGGTCTTGCCGACGAGCGCAAGCTGGTGGCCCACAGACGGAGGAGGCTGCTCGCCCAGCACGTCGTTGTCGCAGCCGCACCACTGCATCTCGTCTGTGTAGCATGCATTGGCGGCATTTATAGAAACATCAAACGAGGGTCAGTCCCGCGAGCTCAAGCGAAACGCTGGCGCTGCCGCTGGGGAGAAAGTGTCAACTCACCGAGGTCGAGGTAGTGGAGATCGTTGAGTGCGCCGTGCGCGCTCTGGCCGCCGAATACGTAGAGCTTGTTCTCGGCGATAGCGGCGCCGAAGGCGGTACGAGGAGCGATCCACCCGTTCACCTGGGGCTGGGTCCACGTCCAGGTGTCTGTGTGGGATGATCCACGTGGCAATTGCGGCGCGTCATGCCCGACGTCAGCTACGCACACGACACAACAAACACTCGGGTGTAGCGAGAGAACTGTGGCATGGGGTAAGCGGTACTGGTGTCAAGGAGGTGAACGTCGGAGTAGATGTTCTTGCCATCGGATCCGCCGAACACGACCATGTAGTGCTTCCACATGGCCGCGGCATGGCTGAAGCGCGGGCTGGGCGGCGTGCCCTGCGTCTTGATGATGCTCCAGTCGTTCTTGGTCCTCTCTGAGTGGTTCGCAAGTGTCAGATTTGACTGCGTGTCCTTGTGACATGGGGTCCGGTGATGCGTGTGCGGTGATGCGCGTGCGGTGGTGCGTGTGTCGTACCGTTGACGAAGAGGTAGAGATCGTTCAGGGGACGGCTGAGGTACTTGCCGCCGAACAGGAGAATCTTGTTGGGGCCGAGCGGCACCGCCGAGTGGGCAGAGCGCGGCAGCGGCGTCGTGCCCGTGCATCGAGGGCGCGACCACGCCAACGTGTCTGCGCGCGTAGAAGAAGAAGAAGGAAAGTGCACGAAAGAACGCGGCAACGTGAGTAACGACGACCGGTGTAGCAAGCCCTTCAGGCGTCTGCCTAAGGTCGTACCGGCATTGAGAAGGAAGACCTCGTTGTAGTTGTGTGTCTTGTCCTTGCCGCCGAAGATGAAGAGGTGGTCCTTGTTATTGTTCTGGATGATAGTGGAGCTGTGGTCCTGTCGCTCCGTGGGTCCCTGGCCCCTCGTCGCTCCGTCGGTCCACGTCTTCAAACCACCTTCACCCCATCGTCGCATTTAGACTCGAAGAGTGCCCGCAAGTGATCGATACGAAATGGACATGTTCGATTCCAAAGAGTGAGAGGGGGGGTAATGTGCATACCTGTGTTGAGAATGAAGAGATTGGCGTGTGTCGTCTTGTTGGTGTTGCCAGCGAAGACATAGACCTGCTTGTCCCTGGCCGTAATGGAATGGCCCGAGGCAGGGAAGGGAGATTTGCCCGATGCTTTGGTTGCCTTCCACACCATCCTCACTCTAGGTAATTTGATTTACAAACTAATGGTAATTATTAAATTTGTGTTCTTCGTGAATGTAACGCGCGTAGTCGGCCATGGTCGGACTTCACCGCCGTATTGAGCCAACCCAAACCTGTCTCTGAACCCGTCCCAGTCGACACTCAGCACCAGTCGACGAGTTGCCTACCTTGTATTCGGCAGGTGGTGCGTTCTACGGAGCGAACAGGGGATCACGAAGCTGGGAAGACGAAGTTGCAAGCCACGGCCGGGTGCGTGCGAACTCATCACCTGGGGTGGGTAAGCCTTCGCCGAGTTTTCCTGATGGGGTGGCCTGCACTTGGATGGCGGCAGCAGCTGCGTTTCTGCTCAACAGCGCCTGGTCGCCTGTCCAGCTCGTCACCCGACCCGAACAAAACCACGCCTTTGCTCGAACAAGCACATCCAGTCCCGTTTGCACCCTTGCGCCCATGTTCAGTAGACCCCACGATCTCGCTCACTCATCAGTGGACACCAAGTGCGTCGCCGACTCCTGCAGTGTGTGCAGTGTTTAGTTCGAACTAACCCAGTGTTGGCTTGTTGTCGGTGTACATGCAGGATGGAAGAGGTCACATCGATGGTGGCTGACCTGACGCGACAGTGCAAGGAGCTGGAGCAACACAACGCGCTGCTCGAGGTCGAACTGGCGCGCAAGCAGGCGTTCTGGCAGGAGCTTGGCCTGATCATGGCCGAAGACCAGGAGGAGCACGAGCGCGCGATCAGGGCCACCCGCCGCAAGCTGCGGCGGCTCAAGCGCCGCCTGGCCGAGCGGCAGCGGTTCGCCGACGCCCAGCGCGAAGCGGCCCAAGGCCGGGTGGTCCTCGACGTCGGCGGCACCCGGTTCACCACCACCCTCTCCACCCTGGGCGATTCCGTGCTCGCCGCCCTCTTCTACGGCCGGCAGGACCTCGACGAAACCGTGGATGACGACGGCGCAGTGTTCATCGACCGAGACCCGCAGGCCTTCGCCCACATCCTTCAGTGGCTGCGCACCGGGGTCGTGCCGCTGGTGCACGACGCGGCCCAGAGGAAGACCTTGATATTGGAGGCGGTGCACTACGGACTGGACCAGCTTACGAGCGAGCTGGAGCTGCAGGCGAAGCATGAAGAAGAAGTAGATAATGAGAAGCAAAAACAACAGAAGAAGAAGAGGCGAGGAAAGAGTAGGAGGAAGGTGGGGTGGGTCAAGGTGACGAACGCGCAGTTTCTGGACCTCGTCAACCGACCGCCTCACGGCGGGCTCAAGTTCAACGGGTGCGACCTGCGCGGCTTCGACTTCCACGCGATGCACCTGCGACGCGCCAACTTCCACCGGTGCGACCTGACCGGCGTCGACCTCCGCCACGCCAAGCTGAACGGCGCCTGCCTGGTCGAGTGTTGCCTGCGCGACGCCAATCTCTCTGGTGCGCAACCATTCCCTGCTGTGGCGCACATTCACTTGCGCTGCTGACACACTACGACACACAACGCACGACACACACGACGCACGACGCACACGAAACGCGACTCACACGACACACAACAGGAGCGGTGCTGTCTGGCGTAGACCTCACGGACGCAGATTGCCGACGTGCAGACCTGACGAACGCCGACCTCAGGGGTGCCGTGCTTTCCGGCGCGGACCTGTCCGAGGCCAAGCTGGACCGCGCAGTGCTCGATGACGCTCGCTCGGCGGAGCTGGTCCCGGCCAAAGCGAAGGACATCGAGCCGATCGCCACCGGTGGCCTCGTCCTGGGCTTCAACAAACTCGACCTGTGCCCTCTGCTCAACGTTGGCGAGTGTGCGCCCGCCACGTCGAGAACGACCACCACAGTCTGGCGAGTCTGACAGCAGCGAATCTGCCCCGCGCTCGATTGCTTAGCCAAGCTCAATGAGGTGAGGAATGCTTACATGATTGGAAAATCCGCTTATGTGTTTGTTTTGAAGAAGACGGTGTTGTGTGGCCACGAACATGGGGAAGAAGAACGTTGGGGGGCTGACGTTCCTTATTCGAACCATCTCTTCGTGGCTTCCTTGGCGACTGGAGAGGCAAAGAGACGCTCCTTGTACTGGGTCACTGTTGGTCCCTCAGTTAGCTACAGCCCACAGCAAGCACGCACACCGCATGCATGCACAACGAGTGGAGAGGACAAGGTACCCATGGAGTCGAGGGCATCGATGTCCTTCCTCTTCTTGACGGCGGCACGCGCCTTCCTGCTCAGCGCTGGCAGAGCGTCAGCCTCGACCTCTCGCGCCCTCTTCCGCTGCGGCTGGCTCTTCTCGTCCTGCTGCTGCTGCGGCGGCGCCACCTTCTGCTTCTTCTGCTGGCGCGCTCCCTCCTTGCCCGCCTTGTTGTCATTCTTGACCGCAGCCTTCTTGTTGTTGCCGCTGCCGTTGTTGCTGTCCTCCCTCTTTCGCTTCTGGCCGGCCGGCTGCTGTGGCTGTGGCTTCGGCTTCTGTGGCGAGGCAGCGCTGTTCGGGGCCTTCTTGTTGCCGCCCTTCTGCTGCTGCGCCTGCGCCTGCGCCGCGGGCTTCCGCTTGGCGGTTCCGTCGCGGGCCTCCTGCTCATCGAGCGCGCGGAGCTTCTTCTGCTTGACCTGCTGGAGCTGCAGTCGCTTCTGCCGGCCCTCCACCACCCGCTTGTCCTCGAGAGCAAACTCCACCAGCAGGCGCCGCTTCTCGCCAAAATACTTGGGGCTGTTGTTGACCTCGCGCAGACCGATCAGCGCGTGGTCGTGGTCCTCGAACTCGACGAAACCGAAGCCCTTCGATCGCTCGTTCTCGCCCATCACGATTTTCACCTGCTTGATGCGGACGTCCTTCTTGAAGCCCGGCTCGGCAGCGGCGGGTGCAGTGGCCACGGCATCGAGGAAGAGCTTCTTCAGCTGCTTGTCGGTCACGCTCTTGGGCAGATTGCGCACCGACAGACGCGTCTTCGATACGAAGAAGTTGGGATTCCTGCGTCGGAGCGAAAAAACAAAGGGGGGGCAGTTAGGCGGCTGCCGGGCAGCGAGCATGTAGAGATGGCGATGGAGTTATGGGGGGGGGGCGCTTACTTGAGCTTCTGCTTCTTGGCCCGCATGGCTTCATCTCTCCGTGCGATCTCCATCTTGCTGAGCCCCATCTGCTCGCCCATCTCGGGCGAAATATCTGTTCTCGCGTAGTGCGTGTGAGTGGCGAACACACACACACACACACACACACACGGAGCAAGACGTACATCCTTCGGTCGCCAGATAGAGATTACGCTTGTCGCGCTCCTCGGTCTCCTTCTTTGTTGCGGTGGTGAATTGGTTCGCGGTGCCCTTGTCCACAGCTCTGTCGATCTGCAATTCGCGGCCCTCCATGAAGATGCCGCTCTTGCCCACGGTGGCGGACAGCACGGCCTTGGGCTGCGAGGCCGACGGCGTGGAGGTCGTAGTCGAACTGGTGGTGGTCGCCGCTTGCGGTTCAGCAGCGGCCGCAGCCGCGAACTGACTCGCAAACAGTGCAACTGTAATCATAAATAAATAAATAAATAAATAAAAGACCAAATAAAAGGATTAAACAGTGAAGGCACGCAGAGAAAGAGAAAGAAAGGGTACCCTGAGCGAGCAGGGAGTCGGCGGAAGCCTTCTCGGCGAACTGGAGGAAGGCCGAGCCACGGGCCATGCCGGTCACCTTGTCCTTCACCAGGGCACAGTATCGAATACGGCCAAACTCGGCAAACTTGGCACGCAGGTCTTGCACGGTGGCGCCGAAGGGCAGGTTGCGAATGAAGAGGGTCGTTCCCGCTTCCACCTCAGCAGCTGAAGGTCAGAAACAGAAATGTGTGTGAACAAGGCAAGCAGGCTGACGTGATCACCAACACAATGCAATGGCCCGCGGAAGGGCACACGTACACTTTGTCTTGGGCTTTTGTGGTTTATCGGCACGAGCCTCGCTCTTCACGGGGACGGTATCGTCATCGTCCTCCTTCTCTTGCTTCACTTCGACCATAGCATCGCTATCCAGCTCTTCGTCATCGTCGTCCTCGCTTCCCTCTTCCTCGCTGTCGTCACTGTCGGCGCTTTCATCCATATCTTCACTGTTGTCGTCGTCGTCGTCGTCTTCATCGCTTTCACTGTCGCCGTCTTCATCGCTCTCATCTTCGTCCAAGTTTTCCACCTTCGGCTTCTTCGTCTTCTGGTCCTCCTCGTCGACCTCTTCCTTCTTGACGGCCTTCTTTTTCTCGCCGTCCTTCTTGTCCGACTTGGCCTTGACCTCTTCTTCAATGACGTGCTTCAGGTAGCTCTCCCTCGCCAAACACCAATCCACAGCGACCCGGCGACCTTCATATTAAAACACACACACAACACAACTCGTGTTAGAACGGAGCGTTTAGGGTTAAGATGAAACCCATAGTCGCAACGTACCTCGGATCGGCTGTGCGTTCACTTTCTCGAGCGCATTGGCCGCTTCCTCCTTCGTGAAGAACTCGACGAATCCAAAACCGCGGGGATTGCCGGTTTCCTTGTTCCTGCGACGATGGCACGCGACGAAAAAAAGAAGCAGAAGGGTAAGTGGTCCGACGGTAAGATGAGATGAGATGAGATGAGATGGCAACAGGCGGGCGGAGGGAGCGTACTTGGGAATGATCACGTCGACGAGCTTGCCGTGGGCGGCGAACTTCTCGCTCAGATCAGCCTCGGTGGCCTGCGAGCAGAAGCGGCAACGAATATCGCGAGGCCCATGATTAAGACGTCGATCACATAAGTTTGAGGTGGGGCGGATGAAGGGGTCGCGATGAGAGTACCTGGAACGGCAGGTTGCGGATGATGAGACGGCCGTCCCTCTTCTCCGGCTTGAATGAAGCAGAGATCGTGCGGTCTCCCAGAGGCACGTTCACGCACTTCTTGGAGGCCCGCTCGGCAAACTTGGCGTCCTTGAACTCCACGTGAGCTGCAAGTAGGAGGAGGAGGAAGAAGCAGAACGTGAGCCAGTGCTAAGCGGAGCCGATAGTTAAAATGCGTGGCGGAGAGAGTGGTTGAGTTTACCGATGACGGTGTTCTCCTTGCCGAGAGGGTAGGTGATGCTGGTAATCGGGCCATACTTCCTCAGCACCTTCTCCAGCGCCTTTTCGTCGACCGACGTGGGCAGACCGCTCACGATCACCACCTTCTTTTCACTGTGGAGGCACACACGACACATCAGCGTTAGTGACACCACGAAGAAAAAAAACAGGCATGGCCCAATAGCTACGTACACTTTGGGAGGCGGCTCGCGCTTGGGAAGCGGAGCGGGGGCGGGCTTTCGCTGCTCCCGCTTCGGTGGGGGCGCGGGCTTGGCGACGGGCTTGGCAATGGGCTTGGCGACAGGCGTGGGGACGGGCTTGGGCTCGTTCTTGCCGATTTCGTCCTCCTTGGTGATGTCGTAACCATCGTCCTTCAGGGCACCCTCATCGTCTTGGTCCTCCTGCTTCACTTCCTCTACGGGCTCTGGAACACAGAATTGAGATGATGAAAATCAGGTCACACACACAGAGAGAGAGACGGCAGGGTCACTTACTCTTTGGCTGTCTCTTTTCCTTTTCATCGCGCACACGAGGCTTGGCAACTTCGATGAGGACTCTGCTGCCCTTGAATGGCTTGCCTGAGTACTGGCGCACCGCTGCCGCAGCATCAGACTCCATGACGCTGAGCAATGCCACACAGCACACGCCACGTTCGGCGCAGAGAGTCAGCGAACGAGGCAGCGACGGTGCATTCAAACAGGACCGCCAAAACAGAAAAAGGGGAGAAGAAGTGGAGTTCAACGTTTAGTAACGGAGCAGAGTGCCACGTACAACTGCACATAGCCCTGTCCGGAGCACTTGCGTTCGCCCTTCTTGGTGATCACGAAGGCACGACGGATGGGACCGACGTCGCTGAAAAGCTCCTCCAAATCCTATTATTGATCAATTAATTGTGTGAATCTAAAAAATGAAAGGGAACGGAATCAAACCATGGAGGTAGTATCCTCTGACAGGTTTCGAAGGAAGATTTTTGTTCTCTTAGGCTCGCGGGCCTTCTTGCCTCCAGCGGGGGCAGGGGGTTCCGCGGTGGCGATGCCGTCGGCAACGTTCGTGCCAGCAGCCGATTTGAACTTCATCTCATCCTCGGCCGGCGATTTAGCTTCATTTTCGATACGGGCCTGCGATTTGGTATCTGCCGTCGTGCTCCACTTCTTCTTTCCCATGATCGATTCTCCAGCAACAAGATGGATCAGAAGGAACTCTACCCGCCGTAGAATCTCCTCTTTCCACGATGCAGACGAGATGGAAAAGCGGAAGAAAGAAAGAATTTTTAAAACAACTTTTTACTTTTTAAAAATGTCAACCAGCTCACATTTCTTAGATGCTTCTAAAGCTGCTTGGGCCGTGCAGAGATCGTGCGCTATTTCCTCGAAGGGAAAGACCGAAGGTTCGTGGCGGAACGAAATCACATCAACACATCGATCCTATCACGCGTAGCGCAGATTTTAGTGCAAAAATCATCCGGCAGCACTACACCTCGAACGAAAATGAGCGCGAGAATCAGCCTAATGGGAGCGGATGACGAAGATCACCTGCACGGCACCGCGCCGGACCACGCCGATGATGGAGAGGGCGAATACGATGAAGATGAAGACGAAGAGGAGATCACGCTCTCGCAGTATCTTGTGGAGCTTGTGTGGAAGGACAAGCGAACTCGCTACCAGTTGTGGAATTGCGGCAAGGTCATCGTCCTCTTCGGCGTCACGGTGTGGGCCATGCGAAGATTCCCGCACTTCCAAGATCCCGAGAGGTTGGACCAGAAGGTGGTGGAGTACATGGATCACCAGCAGCGAATGATGATGGGAGGGATGTAAATCGGCAATAATCAAACTCTCTTCTCACCATAACTTAGGGCACTGGAAATGCCCAGTAAGCGCAGCAGTGATTGTAGATGGAGCAAGGGCACAAGGGCAGGGGCTGTCGCATCTGTCTAGATAAGTAGCAAAAATCGGATATGCAAGCTGGGATAGTATAGTGGTAGTACATTGGTTTGTGGTACCAACAACCCGGGTTCAATTCCCGGTCCTGGCAATCCCTTTTTGCTCTTGGCCTTCCTCCGCTTTGCTCGAAGCTTTTGGCGCGAAGTTTTGGCGGGAAGAGGAAACAGGAGGACACATCCAATTTGTCACCCACAAACAAGCAAGGAAGATGAGCCAAAGCCCACCGCACAAGAAAACTAAACAGCTGGAGGAGGACTCCAAGCAGTCGGCCGCGGAGGTGAATCCGTTTGCTGCCTTCGATTTCCGATTCCTGCTCAAGACCTACTGGGGTACGCACCATTCACCCCCGCATTTCTTTGAAGCATTGCTAAATCGTTCCTTCGCCTAGGTTCTCTGTTCCCTGTGAAGCAAATATGCGAGATGTTGGGTACGATTCACACAAGCTTTGAAAAGAGCAAGCTAATAATAACGGCTAACCCTCTTGTCCTTCGACAGCACCGAACGGGGCTAACCTTGCTCTTCGCGAGTTCTCCTATGAAATTGAGATCGGCAACGGGGAGACGACCTACTCGCGTTACAACACTTACGCCAACGCCAAGGAGGTACCTACCTCGCCTATGCACGCTTCCTTCCGTTGCTGCATTGCATTGGCTTACCAAACGCGCCGATGCAGTTCCAAGACGGCTTGCAGAGGGAGTGCCCGCGCAGGATTGATCTCGGCGCAGTGTTCTCACAGGAGGTGCGACCCTCCTGTCCTTACTACATCGATGCGTGTTCGCTCAACGTGATGGTGATCTGCAGCCCAAAGACAAAGTACTCGTTGCCACCAAGAGGGCCGTGCCGCAAGAAAAGGAGCTTGTGTTCGATATCGATATATCTGACTACGACGACGTGAGGCGATGCTGCAAAGGTAAGCCACGATCCGTTTTCATCACGCTTCTATCGAGCCTAAACTCTTCGTGTCCGCCGTTATGTGTTGGGTGCCAGGTGCTGACATCTGCGGCAAGTGCTGGCCCCTCATGAATGTCGCCATCAAGGTCGTGGATAGGATCCTCCGTGGTGCGTCTTCGCTTTCTCTTTTTCCGGTTTGAAATCTGGCCACGGTCCACTCTTCTCACACCATTAGATATCAGAGGACTTTGGCTTTGAAATCATCCTTTGGGTGTACTCTGGTCGACGTGGTGTGCATTGCTGGGTGTGCGATCCCCGCGCCAGAAAGCTTTCCGTGGAAGAAAGGTAGCCCCCCCCCCAATATGTGGTGATTTGCCTTAATCTTTCCTCACCTCTTCTGTGAATACCTAGGTCCGCTGTGGTAGAGTACATTAGCGTTGCTGGTCAGAGGAAGCAGAGCGACAAGTTTTCCTTCATCAACATGCCACCCAACCTCCACCCCACGCTCAAGTTCGCTCCTTCTCACCATCATCCTCTTCTCTTCCTTTGTCATCAGTGGGCTAGGTGGCAAGTCTTACTGTATCCATTTCTTCCATTGCAGGCAAGCCTATGACGAAGTTCTATTGGACTACTTCGAGAATACGGTGTTCCCTGCCCACCTGTTCGAAAACGAGGACGGCTGGAACGTGGTCCTCAGCACGTTGCCCAACAACTTGCGCGACACGATTGCCAAGGCTTGGCAAGAGGACGAGGAGCTCACGCCACGTGAGCGATGGGACCAATTCTTTGTGGCGGTCAACCAAGCCATCGTACGTTCACCTGGAGCTTCCCCGCGTTTGGCTGATCGGTGTCAACGGACTGATTTCAAACAAACGCTCGCCCAATGCAGGAGAAGGGCCATCTGCGAAACAGCAACCCCGTGTACGACATCGTGTTCACATGCACCTACCCGCGGTTGGATATCCAGGTGTCCAAGCACCTCCACCACTTGCTCAAGTCGCCGTTTTGCGTCCACCCCGGCACTCGTACGATCTTGGCTAGCCTCTTTGCTTGCTATTGTTTCTGTCAGTCGCAGTCTTTACTGTGCGTTTGGGTCCATCCACCATAACTCACGCTGTTGGGTGACTGCTGCCAGACCGGGTGTGCGTACCGATCGACCCGGACCAGTGCGACGACTTTGATCCTCAGGCGGTGCCCACCGTCGAAACGCTTCTCTCCGAGATCGACCAGTTCGACAAGAGGAATGCTACCGACTCGCCTCTGCGAGGCAAGAAGGGTAAGACTGGTCTACTAGTGCCAACTCCTCGTCCCCAATCTAACCCAACAACGGTCGTGCACGTCTCTCTTTCAACTCCAGGACTGCGGCAGTACGAAAAGACGTCGTTGAGGGACTATGTGCGTCTGTTCGAGAAGACTCTGCTCGTTCCCCTCCGGCAACAGGCCGCACGCAAGGCCGACGACGCCAGCCCGTCCAGCCCCGCCGCGGCAGCCATGGACGAGGACTGGTGAAGCCTCTCCTGCCTCACGTACCACCGCCTGACGCAAAGAAGTGCGTTTGGAACGCATTCAATGAGTGTTCTCGCGCGCGCTGTTGATGATGATGGTGAGGATGATGTTTGTGGTTCGCTCTACTCAGCTACATCAACACTGTCATGACGCACAAAAACAAAAACAAAAACAAAAACAAAAACGAGAGTAGCGACCGCGGAGGGTGCGGGGTCGATCTGTGCTCAAATGAATACGAAGTAGCACCCGTTTCCATTGTGCGCTTCCTCTCTGCCCTGATGAAGCCGAAGGGCGACCTCTAAGTCGGCCAGCCGGCGCGGGTACAGCGCCATTGTGGGCGTGACCAGAAAAAAAGCAAGAAAGAAATAAACAGATTTTAAAAAAAAGAGAGATGGAGGACGTGAGTCGAGGGGCGGAGGCACTGGCCATCCGCTGCGTGGGACCTCCTGAGGCGTGCTTCGATCCTCCGTTCGAGGTAATTGGATCTCACTCATTTGAAAGAAGCAGACAGAAGAGATTGATTTTGCACGTCTGCAGTACATTAGGGAATGCGTGGCGGGACCAGGTCAGACTCCTCTTCACCTCAATATGCGGTGCCCCATGCTCGCCTGACAGCGAGGTGCGTGGCAAGGGGTGCAGACAGAGCGCTACGAAATCTATGAGGGCTGCACCTGTGTGCACGACCACTGCGCTCGCTCGAGTGGCGCAGACGAGGACCACAGGGCCGATGCAGAGCCAACAAAACGAAAGAGAAGGCGGACCACAACAGATGAAGACGACGCCACTTCAAGTGAAGCAACAGAAGAGGAAACCGAGAGTGGACGGGATGGGCGAGGTGTGAAGAAGAGCAAACGACAGAGACGAAGCCAGATCAGCGACGGTTGTGCGTGCCTGGCCCGAATGGGCGGTCGTGTGGCCTACGACCCGTCCTCACATCGGCTCCTGCCCGACTATTTCCCTGAGCTCGAGCGCTGCGACGTCACGCACACCACCAGCCAACGTGAAGACGTGAGCGAGGAGGCACATGACACGGATGCCGCCGCCGCCACCACAGCAACAACGGCGACGACCAGGCCCCAACCGACAGACCGGCCGCTGTTCGAGTGTCACAGCCGGTGCGGCTGCAGCGCCGATTGCGCGTCGAGGGTCGTGCAGAAAGGTGCGTGTCGTGTGTACCACCGCGATCTCAACTCTTCTCGCTGTTCGTCTCTCACCGGTGTTTTTACTCCTGCAGGCATAACGCTGCCGCTGGAGGTGTTCATGTCGGCGACCAAGGGCTGGTCCGTGCGGGTGCTCAGCCCCGTCAGGAAAGGTGAGGTGAGCTGTTTGTGTTGCCTTGCCCCCCTCGGTACGGCTCATGCGCAGCAGCCGGCTAGAGCTGATTGATCGATTGCAGGCCAATTCGTGAGCGAGTATGCGGGCGAGGTGGTCTCCACCGAGGAGGCGCAGCGACGGTGGCGAGACGAATACGACCGGGCGGGTCTCAACTACCTCCTTGTCGTGCGCGAGTTCATGTACGCGCTGTGCTTCCCGTCGATGATTTTCAACACGCGCTTACGCACCGCACACGCACGCACACACGCACAGACCGGCGCGAGGAGCGACGCTACGCACCAACATCGATGGCACGCGGTTGGGCAACGTGTCGCGGTTCTTCAACCACTCGTGCGACCCTAACATGTTGCTCTTCCTCGTTCGCGTCGGTTCGCTCATTCCCCGGTGCGCGCCTCACCCCCCCCCCCGCACGCGTTCATGTGTTCTCCCCACTGCCTGAGGCGCTGACTGTGCGGTGCCGTCGCGCTATGCCAGACTGGCCTTCTTTGTATGTCGTGATGTGGCGGCGGGCGAGGAGCTGACGTATGACTACGGCCACGGATCGACTCAGGCTGCCGACGCACCAGCCACGAGGCAGTGCCACTGCGGTGCCCGCCACTGCCGCGGCGTACTCCCCTTCGACCCCCTGGCCTGACTCGCTCATCAGCTTTGCACAAGTGATTTCTTTTATTTACACTAAACTACACGCACAGCACACCCGAGCCGCTCCAAAAGAAGGGCGTGACGGCAGCGGTGGGCAGGTCGAGCCGCTGATGGGGTCCGCTGGTGATTCGTTCGCCGGGGCGGAGGACCAGCCGGGCGGGTCCCTCCTCGACCCAGAGCACGCCGCGCGACTCGATGCGCACCCACTCGTAGGCCGCGAGGGACACCACCCGCGATCCGCTCTCCACCGCCGTCGCGGCGCTGATCGATGCTCTCTCCTCCTTCGTCTCCTTCATCATCTGTCGCCTCAGCTCCTTCCTCCTCCGGTTCTTGCACTGCTTCGTTCGCTCACGGCCGTCCACGCTCTCCTGTTGTCGACGCCCGGCAGCCTCTTGTCTTGGCCCGAGCCATTGATTCTGGTTTCGGTCCTGCGCATCGACGACGTTGCCCCGCGGTTGATTGTCGGCTTGGCCGCCACAGACGTCGTCGTCTGCCTCTGCGTCGTCGTCGGTCGGCTTCAGCGTGGGCGTGGGCGAGAGTGGTGTGTCGGTGGTGATGGTGTGGTTGTTGCGGCTCGGCTCACTACTG